CGACACGTTTGATCGTCCAAGATAACGGTCAATTTTCTGGTTTGACCAATTTTGTTACTTTGGTGTATAGTTCAGGCCATGATGTTATGAATCAAAAAGATTGATCAGAATGTTTATTATGTGAAAAGTTCAGGTCATACAAATATATTAACCCTTACCCTAATCATAAAAGACAAAAAAAAAAAAAATACTAAACTCTAATAGAATGATAGAAAATGGACTTTATTTACACAAAAAAGAAATGAAAAAGAAAATGCACCGTACAACTGCACGCTATCATTTGAATTCCATGTAATTTTAATGGGCTTAAGTGCCCTTATTTCAGATCGGCCCCATCATGGAATATGGCAGGGCCAGCTTAGCGAGAGAAGGCTGAGAAGCAGTAAACGCAGTGATTAATTGAATGGATGCGAAATGACGAGAGTGGACATTCGAAATTCACTCAGAAAGCTCCAAATTCAAATCCCTGAAAATCCAACCTATGTTTTGCCTTTATATATTTTGTAGATTTATAGGGTTATAATTGAGTGGGTTCGGGAGGGTCTAGCGATTGCCCCAGCCATTGCAGTTCCCTACTCTAAGGGAAATGGAAGATTGGGAAGCAAGGGAATAGAATTGCCGCCGCCGTCGATGAGCCCATAAATCGCTGTTATTCTCTTCTCTGATTCTTCTCCCCCTCCGAGGAAGATAGCACAGAAACGAATTAGCGGATAAGAGAAGAAAAAGACAAAAGACGAGAAAGAAGTTCCACTGTTTCAGTTTCCGCCACCTAAAAGGAGGGAAAGGAAAAAGGAAGAGCGCGAAACATAAACCCTATTTATCCTTCTCCCAACTAGTTTAAGATCTCTACCCTTCCTTATTCGTCCGCTCGTTCCTCTTTTGGTTAGCACTTTGCCTCATCAGAGCTCCAACCATGGTCAGTCGTTACCTCCTCCATGCCAACTAAGGGTTGAAAGCCTTATCGTGTCCCCCGTAGCTCGTTCCGCTTAGGGTCTAAGGTGGTTACTACAATGAAACCAGAGAGGAAACATTGAGTCTTACGTATTGAGTATCGAGCTGGATGCGGCCACCTTGCCCATCATGAACGAATGGAAGGAAAGAGCCCCATTGTTTGTATTTCCAGTTTCGAGAAAAATGACATGAAACTTTCCCTTTGGTTCCGTAGTGCGGTTTACTTAGGCTCTGTTCGAGTACTACGTTGACAGTCTTGTTGTTGCTTTGCAGAACAAGTTTGGTAGAGGCCACCGCGACAAGGTACAGCAGTTCATGGCCATAACTGGGGCAAGGCAAGTTCAGAATTTCTTTTTCGTAGGTCTAGTTTCTGTTCTACGAAACTAATGGTGATAATCATTCGGTATCGGTAAGTATAAAAAAAGTGAAATGGCAAGCCACTATGTTGGGTTTTGATAGACGAAAGAGATTGATTTGCGGGTTGCTGCTTTTTCCTCTTTCCTGCCTGGTAAGAGATGATGATGGGTTGACCATGTAGACACTGCATGTTCATATTTATCCACCGTGTTTCTTGATCGACTAAAGATGTCCTTATGTTAATGAGTTTGTGGAAACATTATGGTACTTCTCTTGTGGCTAATACTTTGATTCAGAATTGAATAATCCATTTCTGGGTTGTAGTGAGAAAGCCGCAGTTCAAGCATTGAAGGCAAGTGATTGGCATCTTGAAGGTGCATTTGATGTGTTCTACAGCCAGCCCCAGAGTAAAATACATACAGACTCCAGACAATTGGAAGAGCTATACAACAAATATAAAGGTGAATCATTTTTGCCCTCAGTGTTTTTTGTGCTATCTATGCAAATGCAAGATATGTTCAATAGGAGAGTAAATGGTTGCATACATGAGAGTTTGTTACTAAGCACAGTTGTACTGCATTCCTAGTCTGCTGACAAAAACTAGAGATTGCCCTTTCTTTTATATACATGCTTTTCGTTCTGTCTCTGCTTTAGTTGGTAACATTATTAACCAAAAGAAACATACATTTGTGGTGTTTACTGTGAAATTAGTGTGCTGCTATGCTTTGCAGATCCATATCTGGACATGATAATGGCGGATGGTATTGCTCGTCTTTGCAATGACCTTCAGGTAAACTCTTATTATGCCAGTCAGTACTAATGGTTGTAAAGGTCTTTGAAATATCAAAATGTTTTCTTGGTCAGTGCTGGCATTATGTGAATGACCATTGCTCATGGTTGGTTGAACTGCAGAGTTTCCCTACATTATGTGTGTGATTAGATTGCTAATGGGTTACCAATAACACTTGACTTTTCATTTTGCTCAGGTGGATCCTCAAGACATAGTTATGGTAGGTTACAGGTTATAACCTATAACTTCATTTGCTGTTATACTTATATATAAGCTTATAAAGTGTGTGTTAAAAGCTACTTAAGATCGCCTGTTTGGTTCTGTTGTAATTTTCTTTTTTGTTTCTTGTGCAGTTAGTTGCTTCATGGCACATGAAGGCTGCCACCATGTGTGAATTTTCGAAGCAGGAGTTTGTCGGTGGACTACAATCTATAGGGTTGGTTCAGCAAGTTAGTTTGTTTTATTGATTGCTTCAGATAGTGCTATGGCATATCTAATTCTAGCTGTACCTTCTGATGACAGGATAGATTCACTGGATAAGTTCCAAGAGAGGATACCATTCATGCGTTCTGAGCTGAAAGACGAACGTATGAACAACTGGATATTTTCTTGAGCTTGTACAGCATATCCATCTAGTTTGAATCCTCCTTTGGGTAATTTTGTTCCTAACACAAAATATCTTCTGATTTTGCAGAGAAGTTTCGTGAAATATACACTTTTTCTTTTGGGTGGGCAAAAGAGAAGGTACACACTGCTATGTACAAATACTGTACTTGTGTTCTAAGTCTTCATTAGTGTTCTGTTTATCTGACCAACTGAATCACTAAAATAAAAAATTGACTTGCCTATCTCTTTTAAAATGGCTCGAAGCGTGTTGTCTATAAGGAAGCAATTGAGGCTCTGCAGAGAAGCAATGTGTCTTGTTTGTCCAATGTGTGGGCAGTTCCTGAACCCTAATGTTAGGCAGCTGATGGTCATTTTATGTGGCAGGGTCAAAAATCTCTAGCACTGGATACTGCAATAGGAATGTGGCAACTACTATTTGCTGAAAAGCACTGGCCATTGGTGGATCACTGGTGCCAGTTCTTACAGGTACTCTTTAGGAAGCATTTAAAGTCGGATTGCTTTCCATGAAATAACACCTCTTGTGAGAATGGCTCCTGAATGTGCTGAATCAATCTGGCTGAACTGAGAGTCAAAATGGGAGTAATATGCAATCTTATCTGCAGTATGCACTTAAGGGTCGGTAAACTAGCACTAGTTGTTTTCTCCAGGAGTAAGTGGTTTCTATGGTGCAATGTGGTTTTTTCCTCTTTCGCCCTTATAAACAGAAGTGCGGTTTTCACTGTCTTATCATCCATCATTGAAGGTGAAGTATGGCTGGTGATGTGCTTTCCTCTCTGATGTCAGTACTGACTTGGTCTTCCTTTTCCTTAGGCTCAGCATAATAAAGCTATCTCGAGGGACACTTGGTCTCAGCTATTGGAATTCACACGGGTAAGTACTGATGGATTTGGACCGTGTTCCCTTTCTCTCTTCCATTTCTGTGTTCTCTCTTTTACTTGCTTTATTTGATGATGCGGAGGAATAACAGTTCCATTTTGGGATTCATAATGTAGAGTTAGCGAAATGAAAGATAAGCTGGGAGGGCAGTCTATGTAATGAAAATGTTTGTTGGTGTGGTGCAGACAGTTGATTTTGGATTAGCAAACTATGATGCTGAAGGGGCATGGCCATATCTGATTGATGAGTTTGTGGATTACCTGAATGCAAGGTTGTCAAACCGGTTTATGCCAGTGTGCCGGTCTAGCATGTGGAATGGTTCGACCGGTGGCACATACCGGTTTGTGCCGGTTCATGCCGGTCAATATTAAAAATAAAATTATAAATACTCATATTGAAACATGACATTAACGTCAATACCTAAACATTTATACTTGAATTCAACAAATAACAACAATATTTAACTTTTATACTCATAAAATAAATAATAAAATAATTTTTATCAATTAAATTCACTAAAATAAGGTCATTTTACTTGGAGATTCGTATATCGATCATGCCGGTCATACCGGTGGTGTCACGCCGGTTTTATGACCGGTATCGGTTGAACCAGGTACAACCGGTGGCACGCCGGCCGGCTTGACAACCATGCCTGAATGAGAACGGTGTTGGTGCTGATGGGTTCAGTCGAACAATTGGAGCTTAAAACGACGAAGAAAATAAGAGGACCAGATGTGTAGCAGAAGCTGGAAATTATGGTGCTTGGTTCTCAATCATACAGTTCTGCAGCGTATAGGATTGCGTTTCCTCTTAATTTCTTTACCTTTCTTTCTCTACTAGCACAAGAACCGGCCAACATGGCTATCTAATTTGTATGTCATTTACTCTAATAATGTATGTGTTGTTTGGTATTTTGCATGAACTTTCTAATCAAATACTCGAATTATTTTGAATATGCTTAGAAAGTATTGAAAATTGTTTAAGCCCCAACGCCCTTTACGCTGCCCGCCTCCTTTCCTGTTGCGCCTCCGAACGGGTTCCTGCCTACACACATAAGCGCCTTACGGACCTAGGAGGTCAGTTAGCACTCCGACGCTCAAATGAGAACCTTTCCTTCTAGAGAGAGAAGTGGAGAACACTTCTAGTAAGAGAAGCAAAACTGAGTAAAGAGGTTTACCTACTCCACTATTTATACCCAGAGCCAGATCGATCGGTACCCGTCGCTCTCGCCTTGTGTCAGGTCCACAATAAATGCACTGTACTCTCCTCGCGCATGCGCCTCGACCACCTGACATTTCTGTAAGGAGTCTGAGGCGCATGACATCATGTGGTCAGCTTTTTGTACACTTCCGACCGTTGGATGTCTTTTGTATTATGCACCTCCTGCCGAGTGTCCGACCCCACTTGTCCCACGCGCTGTCTTGGTCATTTAGGCCATTCATCGTGCGCCCCCAAGCCCATGATCCCTACTCCTGTGGGCTTTTCCATCTGGGCCCTACTTGGCCCATGTTTGTGCTCTTACCAAGCTTCCTTGGGCCTTTCTATTTGGGTTGCCCCTTGGCCCATACTTATTCCCCCAACAATTGCCCCCAAGTTAGGCACCTAACGTCCCCGGTTAGGGGCCTAACTACACTCGTCTTCTACCTCTGCGTCTCTGCTTCCCTCCTCACTTGGACCATCGTGCGCCTCCCATGCATGGCTTTGTGCGGCCCATCCGCCTCCGTTGGGCATGCCTCTTCCGCCTTCCCTAGTGCTTCATCCGGACCCACATGCCCTCACCTGGGTTGTGCGCCTCTCTCCGCGTTAACAACCGGACATACCTCTTCACCTTGCTCTGCGATACTCTTGCCCTTTCGTACGCGCGCCTTTCTGCCCCCCGTTTACTACGACTGTGCGCCCCCCTGTCCCATTCACATGGGGACTTATGCGCCTCCCGCGGGCTCCCACAACATATGTGTTTTTTTATTGTTTTTTTTCTTCGCGTCTGTTCCCCTCCCTTCCTCGCCTTCCACCCATGTATGCTCCTTTTCTTTCCTCGTTTTCTGAGCCATTATGCCTCTTGCGATTCCCTCTTTCTATCTCCCCCAATCCGCTTTGAATTTGAAATTTGAAATTCGAAATTGAAAGCGGATTGGTGTGTTCTCTTCGCCTTCCCCCCTTTTTTCTCTCTCTCTCGCCCCATCCCCCTTTATAAACTCCCTCTTCCTTCTACAGACTCTGCACAATTTCATTTTCCACCTTCTCTCTACTTTCTCTCACTAAACTCGCGACCTCGCAGCTCTCTTGCGCGACTCCGTCCTCCCCGCCGTGCTCTCTCTGCCCTCGTCATGGCGTCTTCTCGCCAAGTCCCAATCCCTTCCACCTCTCCTGTGCCTCCTGATGGGCAAGCCGCCGCCGCACGCCACGCTCCTTCCGCCTCGCATGCGCCTTCTTATGTGAAGGCCACTTTCACCTGCCCCTTTGGCACATTCGCCTACCGGAGGATCCCATTCGGGCTATGCAATGCCTCTGCCACTTTTCAGCAATGCATGCTCGTCATCTTTGACCGCCTGGTCGGCGAGATTATGGAGGTGTTTATGGACGACTTTTCAGTTTATGGGGACTCATTATCTCACTGTCTCCATAACCTAGAGCTCGTCCTTAAACGGTGTGAAGAGACGAACCTGACACTGAGTTGGGAGAAGTGTCACTTAATGGTTCGCGAAGGCATAGTTTTGGGGCATAAGATCTCCAAGATGGGGATTGAGGTGGACAAAGCAAAGATCGAGACTATCAGTAAGCTGGCTCCTCCCACATCTGTTAAGGGGATCCGGAGTTTCTTAGGCCATGCAGGGTTCTACAGGCGGTTCATCAAGGATTTCTCAAAGATCGCCCTGACCCTAACAAGCTCCTTGAGAAGGATGTCCCCTTCTAGTTCACCGATGCATGCACAGCGACATTCACGACCTTGAAGGAGAAGCTCACTCATGCTCCTATCATGGTCGCCCCTGACTGGTCCTTACCGTTCGAGCTGATGTGCGATGCTAGTGACTTTGCGGTTGGAGCTGTCTTGGGGCAGAGGCGAGATCATCACTTCCGTCCTATCTACTACGCCTCGAAGGCCCTCAATGATGCCTAAGAGAACTACACCACCACGAAGAAGGAGCTGCTTGCGGTAGTGTTTTCCTTCGACAAGTTTCGTCCTTATCTGGTCTTATCCCATGTGACCGTGTACACAGATCACTCCGCGATTTGATACTTGATGAGCAAGGCCGATACCAAGCCTAGGCTCATACGATGGATCCTACTACTGCAGGAGTTCGACATCGAGTTTCGGGACAAGAAGGGAGCTGAAAATGTTGCTGCTGATCACCTCTCCCGGTTGGACGCACCACCTGCGGACAACCTCGTGGAGGAGATCAATGACTCCTTCCCAGATGAGCGACTGATGATGATGTACCTGGTGGAGGGTGTCACCCCTTGGTACTCCGAATTTGCAAATTATCTGGTGGGCCAGCAACTACCTAAGGGGATGACGACTCACACCAAGAGGAAGTTCTTCTCCGACCTGAAGCACTATTTCTGGGATGACCCTCATCTCTTCAGGATCGGAGCTGACGGGATCATCCGTCGTTGTGTCATGGAAAATGAGATGGAGGGCATTCTGTCTCATTGACATGAGGGGCCTACTGGCAGTCACCATGGCGGTAACCGCACGGCGAGAAAGGTGCTACAGTCGGGCTTTTACTGGCCCACCCTCTTTAAGGATGCAGACACCTTCGCACGCAGGTGCTGTCGCAACCGCCCCCTCGCGATCGGGGGACCGTTGCGAACTGATCGGAGTCGCCATCGACCGTGCTTTGGGGTGGGTCGAACACCTTTTCTGGTTTTGTTATTTAGGTTAAAACCAGAAATCTGGTCTGCGAATTTTAGATTTTCCTAAGTTCGGGAGTACGGATACGTGTGGGGAAATGTATTCACACCCCACAACGCCCCAAGTGGGTACTACGTGAATCGATAAGTTTTTAAGGGTTGGGTGTATTATTATTTGCGGCTATATTAATGTATTTAATTTTATGATTTGGTTAATTAGATAGTTATTAATATTTGATCATACGTCTATTGACATAATTCTCAAAATTAAAGAAAGAGTTTTTGGTTAGTTGGACTCGAACCTATTGGTTGCCTACGTACCCGAGTAGTCGGGATCAAAGTCCACGTAGTTCGATTGAAATTGAGAGATTTTAAATGTGATCTTAATACGTTCTATTGATCGTGATTAAGATAACAATTTGATTTGTTAGGAAATGTATTTATCACGTTTCAACTTAGTAGTTGAGTGGTAAGATAATTTTTAAATGGTTTCATCGAGAGTGACTATCATAGTCTATTGACCATGATTCGTGTTAAGAGAGTTTCTAAGTAAAACGAGTATGTGTATGAATCATGAAGCCAAAGCAAATGTGGTAACCAAGCTTTTTAATATTTTGAAATATTTAGAGGCAGACATAATTTGGTTAAAGCAACAATGTTAGTACAAATATTGCGTATTAAGCTTAAACATAATAAATTGGGATGAGGAGATTATAATTCCAAGTTTGATGATATGGCTTAGTGGCTAATTTCACTGTCTTGAGGCGGGTTGTGAGTTCTGGGCCTCGGGTTCGAGACTCTGGGTAGGAATTTTCTTTTATTTTTCGTAAGAAGAGAGAGCTAAGGGCAAAAGGGTAGTTTTATGGCAAAAGAAAGGGCAATTTGGTCAAATTATTGTTCCGGGTACAAATGCCTCTCTTAAACTCCAAAATAAACCCAAATCGACCGCTCAAACCCTTTCTCCTCTCCTCTGTTCTCTCTCGATCTGATACCAAGGAGAAGCAAAACGGAGCAAACCCTAATTTTATCATCCATCGATCTCCTTTCCTTCTCTTTCTCTCGTTTCTACTCTCACCCTGAACAAGAAAACGACCATGGAAAGGAGAGCAGAAACCCACAGTCTGCCTTCTCCTTTCATTTCGATTCTCCACTCGTCGCCGGCCACAGAATATGGTCCGGACCACCTCAAATCGTTCAGAAGAAAACCGATCTAGGTAAGTTTCCGTCCATGCATGTATACTTTCGTTTGGATTTTGAAGTTGTTTAAGGTTTCGATTGTATTTTGATTTGTTTGCTTTAGGTTTGGGGCGATGTCAGTGACTTCTCGTCTCGGGGAAGAGAAAGAAAAGGGTCGCCGGAGGAACAAATGTGACCGCGGTGTGGAGGAAAAGGGATTCGCCGGCGTCAGAGGTGAATGATCCTCGCGACGGCGACAAGGCGAGTGGAAACTCCGCGGTAAGTCTGGAGGGTCATTGTTTTTGGGATTTTGACTTCAGATTGTTTTCTGGGTTGTGATTCTGATTTTAATTTGTGGTATTGATGAGTTTTGGTAACTGATGAATTGAGGTGTGGTCGAGCTCAAATCTGTCCTTTTTGTGGGTTTTATGGGTGAATTTGGTTTTGGAAATTTGACTGGTATTTGGGGGTAAATTTTCTGGGTTTTATTTTTCTTGGTTTGAAAACTCAGATGTGATCATTTGATTATGGGGGTTTTGAAAGGTTTGTTTTGGGGTTAATATGGCGGTTTTGAAACTGGAATTTTGTGGTGTGGGTTTGAGCGTAGAAATTTGTATATAGTGGGTTGTTCATGGTGAGTTTGATTCTGAGAATCTTGGTTGTGGTAGATGATGATTTTAGTTAAAAAGGCAGACTCTAGATAGCTAAAGAACTTGGTTAGTTTATTTAGTTCATGTTAATAAACACCAGCTGTAAGTAGCTTAAAGGAAAAAGTAGAGTGGAATATAGAAAGATTGAAAGGAACAAATCTAAACACAAAAACTAAGTACAAACACTGGTTTTAGAAATATCAACTTTGATTTTGGGTGAAAATGATAACCTGGTATG